TCGGATATCGGAAAAAACGGGGCATTTCCGTTGGTAAATGTCACGGAGGTTGGTAGATGGGCAGTGCCCACATATTACCAATCAATTTGCCTCTGTCGATACAGAGGTGGAGAGGTAACCAGGAGAAAATATCAGGCTAACTGTGCGAGCGAGCGAATACGACGGAATGAAAGAGAGAGAGTGACAGAAAGAAAGAAAGACAGAGAGAGAGAGAGAAATATATAGGACGCTTATGTGCGCGAGTACAGAGATGGCCCCTCCATCATATTTAACTGAGATAGCCAATCATCGCTGTCACTAGCGGGTGATAGATTATTTTAATCAAGTTATTTCATCCGAAACCCGATCATTCTCAGCGATAGATGCTCGAGGACGTGTAGGTATGCGCAAATGTATACAGAAAAATTGAATTAATCGTTTGGAGAGAGAAAGTCACGGCTCCCTAACTCGAAAACAATCGATGAGTGTCTGTGTTTTTCCCCAGAAACGTAATAAATTATTAGTTTCACGCTACGTTTTCTTGCGAATTTTTGTTTCACGTATTTGACGATTGCTACAATTTTATAAACTTTATGTGTATCTTTATTTATTTATTTTTTTTAAGAGACGATACTCTATCTGTTTTTTATTTGAGTATATTCTCGAGATAGCGAGATATATTGTAGAGTACTATATACGACGTACTGAATTATTGTTGTTATATCTTGGGCCGTGTAAAAAGTTTATCTCGAAGTATCTTACACTTGAGTGATTTTTTCAATAATTCGCGAACGTCGGTTAAGTATAAATTGCTAATCTCTATATGTAGTTTTCCACTTTCTTTTTCCTCTCGTGCTTCTTCGATAATCTATTTTTTAACTCCTCTGATGATCAATTGATCGACGGATGGCTACGTGAGTTTCCAAGTTTTTATCAAGTTTTAAGATACTTTTGATATCTCCAAGTCCATTTGTACGAATCTCTTTCTTTTTTTTTTTTTTGTAAGATGTTACTTCGCTGTTGATATTTATTGTTAAGCTTTTCCAGCAATGTTTTATCGAGGAATAAAAAAAAACCGAATTGAAATAAAAAGAATTAAATTAAAAATTGTAAAAGATATAATTACGAATTAATTGTATACAGCTCAAATTAATTTTAATACCTTAATATATAAATCTATTGTTTTTACTTTATCAATGCTGTGGTTAATATGATAAGAATTTTATAAAATATTTTACAATAGTTAAGAAACTTTGTTAAAAATAGTGATTTTTTATTTCAAGTAAAATTTTATACGGGGATTATAAAATATTATGTTTACAGAAAATAACATACAAATGTGAATTTTGTATGTGTGAAATTGTTGTTTCATAGAAACTTATAAATTATTAAAGTTTTAGCTTTATTTATAATATATAATTCTACAGTTTTCGATAATTTAAACAGATGTAGTCCTGGCCATTAAATGGTAAAAGAAATTGCCACAGAACAAAGTAAGACGCAGCGTTTTACGAGACTTTCCATATTATTTTTCGTCAGATTTTAAGAAATTTATAATTTTACATATATTTTAGAAGCAGGTTTTTTTGACTTTTAAAAACTAAAAGCTTAAATTAAAATAAAATAATGGCAAGCAAATATTAGTATACCAAGATGAAAAGCTCTTACAGGGAAGATTTCTATCCGTTATAAAGCATATTCTTGTATAATTTCGTACACATCAACCCCCCGAAAATAATCATTATTGATCGAGTCTTTCCCCCTCTCCCCGTTTATCTTTCAATTTCCAACAATGTTGAATTATAACAACGAAACAGATCCCCTCCGATAGAATATTTCGATCTCACGGATTTTATCGTCGACGGACGAGATAGCAAGAACAATAATTTGATCCTGGGGGAGATCGATTTCACGGATCTCCCACCCGGTGGTTCGTGGGTCGTTTTCGTGGTTAACGCACTTGATCCCTCTATCTCGCTACGCGAGTGCGCAAGCTTCTTCTTTTTGAGCGAGCATCGACTTCCCCTTTTTGTGAAGAAGTTTGCGCAGTTTAGGAAAAATACGAGTTCTTTCTCTCGGTGGGTCCGAGCTTTAATCCGCTCTTATTTCCTAGAATCGTTCTCCCGCGGTGCGATCTTTATGACAAGATCGTACCATACGTAAAGACATTAAATGTGTTGCTGTCGCGAAAAAAGCATCGACGTAAAGAATGTCCCGCGAGCCGGGCAATATGGTATTCCCCGCGGGCTCGTAAGATACCGAGGTATACAAGCTGTATTCGTTATTTCTCTACTTGAATAAATTACAGAAAGGTGAGAATTTGCACGAAGACCTTTTATAGCAGGAATAAAGGAAATAAACGAATAGGGAAGACGAGGAAAAAAAATTGAAATTTGCAAGGATATCTCTCAAATGACTTTCCTGAAACGGCTTTTATAGCCAGATCGCTTTCCATCACGTGTCGATATATCGCGTTAAGTTTGCGAGAGCTCTCAAGCTCGACTCGCGGGGAAACAAAAAAGGTTTGTCATCCTTGAAAATGAAAATAATCGTACGGCACGCTTTGCGGCGAAACTTTGTCGTGTCGTGAAGAATTGACTATCGGGCCAAGCGTGACGTTGATTATTGAAATAGTCGCAGTCCAGAGACAGCATCGACAAGCTGTTATAATGGACCGAAGCGTCGGCTCGATGCGTAGAATATCACTTCACTCAGAGAGCCATCTGGGAGGTAGATTATAGTTACTTCCGTTTCCCTGTTCTCGTACAGTGTCCTTTTAAGCGCGCTCGCCGAAACGGCGCGGCGGCGCGGTAGCAACGGTAATTAATTAGTAATTATATCAGCGGCTGCCCCGGAAAAAGCTAGTCCGCCTGCGCGAAATGGTTGCCGTGCGCTCTCCCGACGAAACTCTCCCCGATAACTTTGCTTTCTGACCTAACTCCAATTTCCGTTAATTATATTGTGGCTGCCTACTTTCTCCTTCTCTCTTTATCCCATCCTCTCGCCTTCTCTCTCCTCTCAACTTTCTTTCCTTGGGTTCATTTTTTTTCTTCATTTTCCTTAATTCTTTCTCCCAGTCTCCGGCAAAGGTCGCCGATACCTCGAAAGTAGGAGAAAAATTTCGGCTCGGGTAAAGAAGTATGCGTTGTGCTCTTGCTTTTGGATTGTAGAAAAGTTTGACAATTAAAATAATTTTAAGTAAATAAGTTCATTCAAGTAGATAATTTTGTAGAAAACACAACTTTAATCTTTTTTGCTAATTATGTCTTTCTCGAATGTTGTAAGCTAGAAAAATAACAGATAACATATAATCTTTGATCTAATTATCATTAATGAAGAGATGGATATTCTTTGAGAACGCGGAGTAGAGAGCTTATAGACATTACATTGATGTAACTTGTAACTGAAGACGCAATCGCGACTGGAAACAACGCAGTCATGCGATACACCTGCTATTAGACACCTACGGGGATACTCGATACGCGTTGCAATTCTCCGAACGTAATCTACGGGAGCGGGTTGGAAATTAAGAGCCGTGATAATGACCGAGCGTGTCCAGAACCAATCCGGTATTCGATAGCGAGAGGAACAACGCGGGAGAGACTCACATGGTCGCTTTAGCACAAAATGTCAATTTCTCTCTTTCGAATTTCTCTCTCTCTCTCTCTCGAATATTAATAAATCCCATCTGCTGTCGTTTCCATCGACTCCGTTTTCGCAACTTCGAAACACAGTCGCGGAAGGGGGAAGTCGGTATATTCTTATAGCGAATTCGCAAGATTCCTCGTCGTCTTTCCTGCCCCCTTCCCACCCCGACCCTCACCCTTTTCTCTCCCAGCTTCGTCTCTTCCCTCTGTCGATTCTCCGCTCATCTGGGATTCCGAAACACTTGGACTTATTAAATGCAAAATGCTTCCGGCAAACAATGCTTAATCGCGACGTCGCTCCTCGTTGTAATCCTCGTTTCTACAGATGCAAACGTGAAGAGAGAGAGAGAGAGAGAGAGAGGAGAAAGAGAGATGGAGGAAAGACCTAGAAGGATAAACGATCGCGCGCGACGAGGAGAGGAAATCAGTTCTCTCTCGCTCGTTCACGTTTTCACGATAATCCGATCTCTCTAAGGAGATTCTCCATTTTTACAACTTCGTTTGAGCTCGCGGCGGACTCCGTTGCCGAGGGGAATCCGAAATATTCGCGGAATCTCGGATTTACGCTCGCGGCTCATGAAAAACCGGGCGGTAAAGACGGCCATCCGGCGAGGGAGATAAAAAACTCTTCCGCAGTGATGAAGCAACACCCCAACTGTTTGACAATAAGTCTCCATTTTGATTATTTAAAAGTATGGAAGAAACGGCGATTTCTCCTATTCTTATCAAATCGTTCGAGGACAGTATTATTTTATAATTATATTTCTCTGTGTGTTCTACTTTTCACATATGTTAAATTCCGGGATTTGAAGCGAATAATTATCGTATTACGTTCGATATAAAGCTCATATTTTATAACTATATATAACCTACGGATAAATACAGCCCTCCAGTTGCACTCAATTTACAGCTCGGATCATCGCAATAGACAACAGGTTATAGCCGTTTTTCCTCTGATGTAACATTACACACTAGCACGTATTTTCTTCTTTCGACTGGAAGAAAAACACGAACTTTTCAGCTCGCGCGATCGCCGCGTCTCGCGGAGAAAATAATTCCGCGGATCTCGACATTTTCCGCGGTTTGTTTCCGAGAGAATAGGAGAAACGGAAAAGAAACACCAGTTACAATTGTTTCATTACGTTCCCCTTAGCCCCGGATTGTTGAAGAAAGGTAACCCTGACGCGTACAAGCCCGCCGGGGTTGAAAAATATCGTAGCGAGCACGACTATATGAATTGTTTTGCGTTTCCGGCTCGCGGACAGTTTCAGATTCTCAGATTAAAATCTAAAAACTTGTCGACTGACTAAGCGAGTATATCGCCCGCAGGCAGCGATCGAATCTGCCTCTTTCTAACAGTCTCTTCTGTTCCAGGCTGCACGTTCCCGGAAGAGTGGTACGGCCGGTGGTTCCAGTCCGGGAACACGGATCTGGTGACCGTCAACGGCTCCGAAATCACCAGCAAGGGCTTCTGCATGGAGAGAAGTGGCGACAAGTTTCTCGTTCACGACGTGTGAGTATCCCTCTCGTTTGAATTGCAAGTGGAGCCTGACCGATCGAACGATATGAAACGATAGTATAGTATTCTGTCCTTTTGTACCTCCCATCGTATCTCCTCGCACCCCTTTCTCCTCTTCCTTCTCGCGAATCAACGCCCGGGTGCTCCCGTGCTCGCTCCCTTCTTTCCAGCTTTTATTAATTAACTGCGCTCCGACAAAGCGCTCGAGGCGACGTGCCAGCCGAGAGATAGATAGATAGATAGATAGATAGAGATAGAGAGAGAGAGAGAGAGGGAGCACTCACCGTATAAAACGTTTCTCCTGAAATTCCATCCGTGAAACCGGAGCAGGGGTGGCTTTGAGATCGAAGAGAACGAGCGATCCGGCAGCGCACGCGTGGCTCTCGTATATCGATATATGTGTTACCTTTACCGTCCGCTGCCGTATTTGTGCCTCACGTGTGTGTATACGGTGATGAGATTTACGACGAATGCGTAGTCGACGAATGTAGTACGCGAACGTATGACTAAATGTTAAATAGAAACCGCTCCGCGAACGAGCGCCCCGGGGGCGAACTGACGAGAACTGCCGGCCTCTCGGTTTTCCATCCCATGGTCCGCCGCGCGAAAAAGCACCGCTTTTCAGTTCGTTATAAAGCCGCGTGTAAGTTATAATTACGATCGCTATAGCGCGCTAACTATCGCGTAGCTACTCCCAGAGTAGCTACCTCCTGGAGACTTTGCGCGACTCATTTCGTGAAAAAGTGATTTGTAAAACGTAGAGCGACATTTTATATTATTCAGAGCGTATTACATTTTATATGATACCTTACGAAAGATTCTACTAAAGATTAATGGTCCAAGAAATCTCGCACTAAATATAATTGTCGAATGTTTTATTAACGTTAATAAGGTAAAATTTAATTAAAACAGAAGAGAAATATTTTTTTTTTGTTTGTAGCTGATATATAAAATTAACGAAATGAATTATTCAAATATTTTTCGATATTTTCGCGAAAAAAACTTTTCATTTGTATATAACGAGATTATATCTCATGTATCGCCGTGTTTCTCCGACTCGCGTATCAACAGCGTTGGAAAATAATTGAAACGACGAATTCTCCGGTCACGTTATGGAAAGGAAAACATTTTTCATTGGACCGATCGTGTGCTTTTCCGTAACCAGAATTCTTCCTATATTTCCATTTGCACATTTTTTGCAAAATTCGCACGTCGCGTGTACATAGATCCACATGTTATATTTCGTCGGAATAAACCGTACCATATGTCTGTATACTTTCGCCGTAGTTTCTAGTCAAACACGATCTTTTATCCCGCGTTAGAATTACAGAAACGATATCGCGCAGCCCATCCGAATGAAAGTAAAGTTCCGGGGTGAAATCGTTCGCGATTTTTACTGATTGTGAGAAGCGCTCAGAATCGGTTCGTTCTCGCTCGAAGCGAGAGTTGCTTTGTTGCAGAGAACCCAATTAATTTTGTTTGATCGGCACTTTTTCCAATTTTGCTACCGTTTATCGCCTCCCAATCCCCTTCCTTTATATCCTTCTCATCGAAGGTAAAGTTAAAGTGCGGTCCACTTCGATCGGATATAATATGCACGGTCGATATATATATATACACGAGATGTCCTGCGATAGAATGTTCATAGTTCAGAGTTAAACTTTCAGTCGATTATTAAGCTAATTTTCCAACCAATCCGATGTAGTCTCGATTTATAGATATTCTATCGCAGGCTATCATGTATATCGGATGTCGTATAGTTACACGAGCACTTGTGTCGATCGGCTCGACTTGATTGAACGTGCGGCAATAACATTAGCGAGCAAAGAAGCTGTTTTTCGCGGTCGTTATTGGTTCTCCTGGGAAGATGAATGTATGAGCGAAGAAAAATAGACGGTGGAATCTCGCGATAGAATCGCGAGAACGATCTATTTCCTTTCGTTGATATCGCGCGCGTATAATAGGTGTAATTCAACGTTCGATATAGATATCATTATCAACGGGATGCAATGTTATTTATTTGCAATTCGCGTTCTGCCCTATTTCTACGAGACTCACGGATATACGACCCACGAATTGGGTCGAGTAGGGATTTCGCCGGATGGGCAAAGCGGTTTTATAACATACAAATTTTTTTGTGTAACAAACGCTCCAATTCGCGGATTAATTCTGGCGATATATATTCGCGATTCTTGTTATTGAATTTATATCGACTGTACAAATACTATGAAAAAAGACGATTATATTTATAGCCGTCAATATATATATAGGAGATTATTTATCAATATATAAAACATACAAGATATATGTAGAATTTGAGGGAATCGATATATTTTTGCATTCTCAGGTGAATATATCTAGTTAAAAATTTGTGTACTTTAAGCTTTGGAGTTTCGCAATTTGAGAACAAGTCTCAACAGTAAATCACTATGGGACATGGGGACATAAGGTAGACGTTGAATTGAGAGTAATTCTCAAACGGTATCCATTTGAGAGTGCAGCCTCTTGGGAGCAACTTCTGAAAGCAAAACTCTCGCGAGTAATAGATAGGAAACACAAACTAAATAAGTCTTAATAGCAGTATTTTTATTAGACTCTTTTCATTCATACAATACTTTAACTTTGTAATACCTTTCTTTGTCGAATGTAAAATCTTTTTAAATTCTTATCTCTAAAAATTGAACAAAACGCTAAGTTCCTTGGAAAAATGGATTAATCTCATTTGTTGATTAAGATCTTTTTATTTGTGTAACAAAAAAAAACAATTTTTATTAAATAGATTATACTTATAATTATTTAATCAAGAAATATTAGAACTTTATTTAAGTAACGACAGTGCGAAAGAAAAGACAGTCATTCCCAACGATCGTATCGATTTTAGCAATGCAACTATTTATTAAATGATGACAGAACAGGCTCATTGTTTATTCATATCCGCTCCTTGGAAGCAACCATGATTTTCTTAGCGTTATATACAAGCGGTGGCATACGTGGATAGGTAGACGAACGAGCGGAGAAAATGATCGTGGGAATAGAAGCAGGATGAGAGGAAGAAAAGGACAACGCGGATGGAGCGGCGGGTGACGTGGAAGCCGAGTAGAGTTGAGAGCTAAGTTTTAATTAATGTAATGGAGAGTAGCGCGTGATTAGCTTCCCAATCAGCAAGCTCCCCCCCCCCCCCCCCCCCCCCCCCCCCCCCCCGCCCTCGCGAGGCGGTTTACAATGTAGCATGTACTTTGTAAGTTTGGGTCCCCTATTCGCTATATTTACCAAAGTTGCTGCTAACGGTTAATTTTCTGAAAATTTATTGATTTATGTCTGTATTATAAAATAAAATAATTATATTGTGTCTTATAAGACAATATAATGAAAGCAAATAATAAAGACAAAGTTATACATTTTTAATATATACTACCTTGTTTTTTTAATTATTTTCAGAAAATTAACAGTTAGCAGGAAATTTTATTATAATTTTATTATAATTAACATTAAAAATGGCTAATACTAAATAGAGAGAGGGAGAGGGAGAGGGAGA